TCTAGGCCTTGGAAGGATTTTTTCATTTCTAATTTTTTTGGATGACTTTATTATCATTAGATGAATAATGTTAAAAAAAAAAAAAATTGATTTTGAGTTTATAAAGGCTAAGATCTTGAAATTCACAAAATGAATAGTCTAGATTCATTTTTGGAGATGACTCTCATTTTGATCAGGGTTCAAATTGAACTTTTTTTATTTGGGGATTGATTATTGAGATGAAGAGAGTATGTGTGCAAAATTTGGGGTCATACAAATACCACAAATATGGTTTTCTAGAAGTGTCGTTGCATTATATTATGATACAACCGTTGCATTGGATTATTGCTCTATATATATATATATATAAAATGATCCTATAGGACCTTCTCTCTCACCCATGTGTGACCCAAATGATCATCATTAAAGTTGGCATGAATCTCTAGAAAAGTTATCACATGGTGTGGGACTTGACTTTTCTATAAATAAATGCCAAATTTAATGGTGATCCTTTGAAGTCCTACACACATGGGTGGGGGAAGATCCTATATGATCATTTCTCTCTCTCTCTCTATCTCTCTCTCTCACTCTATATATATATATATAAATTAGAGTAAAATTACAAATAACCCCCAACCAAACGTTTTTTTCCACATCTTTTTCCAAAATATAATTTTCTAGCAAATACGAAAAGGCATATTTTTTTTATGAAAATACCCTTTTTTGTAAATAAAAAATTAATTTTGGCCAAACATTCACGTGGGCTTGTGCACAGTACCAAAAGTTAATGCCGAAGAAGTACCAATTGCCATACCCCATTAAACTAAAAAAAGTATCGGACCGCTCTTTGACATTGTCGGACCGCACTTTGGACCTATTACTGGACCGCTTGGGCCTGTTACTGGACCGCATGGGCCTGTTGCTGGACTGCATGGGCTTATTGTCAGACCACTATTTGGCAGTGCCGGACCTCATGGGCCTTTTGCCAGACCATTCTTTGTCAGCGCTAGACCACTTTGGGATATTGCTGGCCGCTTGTTTATACTGCCGGACCGCCTTTTTGTGTGCTACGGGTAAAGTTAAATAGTCGGTGCTAGAAGAGAGAGAGAGGGCATTTTGGTCTTAAAAACTATAACTTTTTAACTGGAGGGTATTTGCTAGAAAAGTTTATTTTGGATAAATGTTACGATAAAAAATTTGTTGGGAGTAGGGTCAAGGGAGGGTTTTATAATTTTCCCTTTAAATTATATTTTTTTTTATTTTTGGATGGGGTGCGATATGTGAGGGTCTAAATCCGAGTCTTGTTGGGTCTGGGTCGGATAACTTCGATTCCGGTCTGGTCCGAGTCCAAGTCTGGGTCCTATAAATTTTTTCGGGTCCTGGCCCGGCCAGATCCAACCCGACCCGTTACCACCCCCAACTTAAAGTTCCCATTCTGTGCATCTACTCTTTCTAAACATGATCATGATTGTCCCCAGTAATCTCCTAATATCTTTAACTCACTTAGGATATTGAAGGGCGTGAGAGCTTAAAGCCATATCCAATGGCTTGATTTCATTTTGACGATGGTACCTCCTTGTTTCATGCAGTGTCGGAAAGCACCACTCGCCCCTGAACCCGGCCCTAGGCTGGACTGAGTCCAAGTAACTCGCCCCCAAATTGAGGAAGGCATGATAAAAATATTTTAAAAAATATAAAAGTACATAAAAATATCAAAAAATATGAAAATATGTTTAAGTAAAATGAAACAAAACACATCTAAACAAGGTTAAAAAAAGTAGTAAAAAATGCATTTTGAAAATTCAATTTGTGACCGAGGGTCTTTTAGAAAGGAGAATGATCTTATCTCACCGTGTCATTGAAATTTGGTAGACCCCAAATTTTGCATAGACACTCTTCTTCCCAATAATCAATTTTAAAAAATATAAAATTCAATTTGCACCCTATGTATGGTAAAAATAAGTCCCCTCCAACAATGAAAATCTGGACCACCCATCTAGTAAATTTTATTATCTAAGCCTTTATGAATTCAAAATCAATTTTTTCTTTTTTAATAGTGTTAATCTAATGATAATAAAACCATCTAAATAATGGATGTAGTTTGCATAAAGTTGCAACTTTAGATAATCAAAGTAAGGTACTCCTCCAAACTCAGTCATAGACACAATTTTGGTGTCAAAAATTCTTCGAATGGTATGAGAATCTATTTTATGTCTAATTATAAAGTCTTAAACTCCAAAAATAGTTCAGATCAAGCAGATCTTTAAATGCATGAAAATCTTGACAATCAACGGTCCAGATAATATGTTTCAAGATGCACTAATTTTAAGATCTGAAATCTATTTTTTTCTCAATATCTCCATATCTATACATCTCAATGTAAAGATGATCAATTAGATGTTTTCCAACATCAAAACCATTTTTTTGGAAGGACTTTAGAGATGCACCTTAATTCTACACTTAATGGTGTTAACCTTATATAAATTTTCCCTAAAAAATATAGGAAGGAAATTTTTTTTGAGGCTTAGATCTAAGCATCTCACTAAACAGACGGCCTATGTTAATTGGGTTGAAAAAAAATTTATTTGGGTATTTTTCAAATTTTGTTTTTTGGTGATTGTTCAGAGGAATGCAAATAGTGTATATTTAATAATTTTCATATTTTTTGGATTTTATTTTTTATTTTTTATTTTTTTCAATATCCCAAGCTTGACTACCAAAACTCGGGCTCGCCAAAGTTGAGAGCCCAAGTCATTCGGGCGAGTCCAGGTGGGCTTGGTCGAACACATGCTCTCTGTATATTCTTGTCAGTTTTTTATTTTTATTTGATTCAACCAATGATAAACTGCCCAAAAAAAAAAAAAAAAAAAAAAAGAAGGAAAGAAAAGAAACAAACATATATATCTCTCTCTCAAAACTCTTTTATGTGTATTTACCTCATTTCTTAAGGAGCTCCCACCATTATTAAATCAAATAGCGCAGACATGAAGTTTACCTCTCCCTCCCCACCCCCCCCCCAGCCCCCACCCCCCACCCCCCACCCTTTCTCAGCTGTATTTGACCCACAAAACACCCAACCCCATTACCTAGTAGCCCACCAATCCATAAATAGACAAGGCAATATCTACATGCGTGTTAGTAGAGGCAGGGGACCATCCGAGTGCTGCCATGCACAAGCAGACGTCTCCCTGTTGGTGGGGCGCACACCAATGTCTGCTCTGCTTTGGACACTTTGATGAGGCCATTTGACAAAATATTGAAAGCAACTCTTCTTGTTTTATCTTGTACCCCGTAAATATCCTTGAATCCAACGAGCAATTTTCATTCGAGGAAAGCTTTCATGTGACCTCACCCATATAAATAATATATGTGATTTTTGATCTCAACCGTTAGATCTGAATAAATAGCTGAGATGGTTTGATTCATATAGTTAAAAGCTACCTCTTGAACGTCAAATCCCAACAACTCAAGAGTGTATTACTTTTAATCTTTATTGTATAAATCATTTTGCAGTGAAAAATACCCTGAAAATTTTCAGGGGCATTTGGTCGTGTACCATCATTAGAAACATTTTTAGGCTAGATGCAGCGTAGAGAGGAGATGGGACGCCCCATACTATAGCCAAAAAGATTATGTAGAAAAAAAATAAAAAATCAAACCTTGTTTTAGATTGTAAAAAGTGCGAGAAAGAAATGGTATCAATCAAATGCAGAAAAAATTAGGAAAATAGTAAAAACAAATAAGTAAGACCAAATATAATAAATTAAACAAGACCTATAACGCAAATAGGATACACGTGAGCGTGGTTATGAGGAATTGGGGAAGCAATAGAAATAGAAATGATTACGCATCAAAAAAGCCACGTACAACATAAGGACAATATGACGCATGCTTTCCCACAAACCAATCACCTCTCACATTCTCTTTATTTTTTCCTTATCATTCCATCCATTCATTTCCCACCAATATTATCCACTATCTCTTTACATCTCCATTTCTCTCTCCACTTTTTCTCTCTCATCTCTCTCTCTCTACATTGCATCACAGTCCACGTGAAGAGCCCAAATCCATGGCCCACACCTCTCCAAACATGCATGAACAGAAAACCAGAGAAGAAAATTGAGCTCCTTTCCCAAAGGGCGAACAATAAAATATATTGAGAGAAATCCACCGATTTCTTACTTTCTCACTCTTGATTTGGCCTAGTCAAAGCACATTATTGCTACATTAGATTACCGGACCCCGAGGTTGGGGCGGACTGTGTTAGACGTTGCAGCTGTATCATCCTCGCGTAGCAACCGTCAGGATGGTGCGCCAGCAAGTGCGAGTGGGACCCCTGCTCGGCCACTTTCCCATCGTCGATAACGGCGATGCTGTGGGCCCCACGCACTGTTGCCAAACGGTGAGCCACCACCACCGTGGTGCGGGTGCCGGCCGTCTTGTCCAAAGCCTCCTGCACTCGTCTCTCAGACTCTGCATCCAGAGCACTCGTTGCTTCATCCAAAAGTAACACTGCCGGTGCCTTCAGAAGTGCCCTTGCGATTGCTATTCTCTGCTTTTGGCCTCCAGAGAGTCGTGCTCCCCGCTCCCCCACTTGGCTAGCGTACCCCTCAGGCAAAGCAGCGATGAACGTGTGTGCGTTTGCTGCCTCTGCCGCTGCTACCACCTCTGCCTCACTGGGCTCTGCACCATCCTCACGTCGCCCATATGCAATGTTGTCTCTAATTGAGCATGCAAAGAGCACTGGCTCTTGGCTCACTAATGCCATCTGACGACGTATGGCTCGCAAATTGTACTTTCGCAAGTCCTTGCCATCAATTAAAACACGCCCTGAAGATGGGTCATAGAAGCGGAGGAGGAGCGCGAGGACAGAGGACTTGCCACACCCACTGGGGCCCACAAGGGCAAGGGTATGGGAGGATCGAGCACGGAGGGAAAGGTCTCTGAAGACAGGATAGTCTGGGCGCGAGGGGTATGAGAAATCAACATGCTTGAGCTCGAGATCACCACGTAGGCGGTCAGGGGGGCGAAGGGCGTCGGGGTCATCTGGCTCCATCTCTGTCTTGCGGTCAAGGAGGTCGAATACGGAGCGCATGGCTTGGCCCCCACGCAGAAAATCAGGGGCAAGGGTCAAGGTCTCGGCAGCACCATTAGCAGAGACCATAAGCACGACAAAGACGCGAATAGTGTGAGAGAAGTCAGACAGGGAGTGTGTGACGAGCCAGGAGGCATACCAGAGGCCAAGAGAGTACGACGCGTATAAGAGGAATTGGGCCACACCAAACCCACTTCCTGCAATTTGACCCTTCCAAAAGCACCTCCTTAGAGGGGATTGAAGTTTGGAGGCGAATAGGCCCACAATTTTGGCCTCTGAGTTGAATGCTGCAACCGTTCGCACATTAGCCACTGCTTCACCAGCTATTTGGGTGGCTTTGGAGTGGGCGCCTTCTAGGTCCCCAGAGAATCCTTTCATGAACATTTTCTGCAAAAGAACACCACGGTAGAATGGAAACTTTTATCTCTCATGAAATAGCTCGAAAAATATCATCATTGATGATCATTACAAAGAGGACCACAGCATACGTTTGAAGCATCTGATAAAATTATAAAAAATGAAAAGATGCTTGAGAAAAATGAAAAGATACTCCATTGCTTCAAGCAACTTCCAGTGACATTTCAACTATATCATGGGATAGATGACGAATAGCTATGTCCAGAATCTCGATCCTTAACTTTTTTTAGTATTGTAGTTTTCAAGAACTCGATGGTATTCAATGTTGGTTCACATGGATGTCTGAGAACTTAAAATCAGCTTCAGACAGCTCAGCTTCAAGCTAAATGCTCAGCCCAAGGTAAAAAGTAAAACTCCACTTATGACTCATAAAATACTCTTTAAGGAATATGCACAGAATGTTTGATTGTAAGAGCTTGGCTTAGTTCTAACCTAAACCACCCACATTCAAATGCTAAGTCAGGCAATGCCCAAGCAGGGTCCACTCTACTGAGTCCTGGGCTCTAAACCTAAACTTTTAAAATTGGTGCATACATTATAAAAGTACTCCAAAATACTAATTAATGCCAAGAAAAAACTACCTGCAAAACAGTGGCAGCTACCACGACTGGAAAGACTGCAACAAGAACAAGGGCAAGGCGCCATTGAAGCACAAAACCTGCACTACAGGCAACGAGCATGAGGGCTGAATTTTGCATGATGACTGATATACGATCACCAATGGCAGAACGCACATTGCTAGCATCAAGGGCGAGGCGGGCAGCCACCCTCGAGCTCAAGTTCTCATCTTGATCAAACCAAGTAAGCTCGTTCCTCAAAACAGCAGCCAACATTTTTTCCCGCACCCTCTTAGTCAAGTTCTCCCCCACGATGTCCCAAAAGAAATGTTGCATTGTGTTGAATAACAAAGCAGCTGAAGACACCCCTATGAGGAGGTAGCAATACTTGTTGATTTCACGTTTCATATAAGAGTTGTCACGACTATAGTACACACTGAGGACAGCACTGAGAACATATGCAAAGAGGGCACTGAGGGAGCCACAAACAACCGAGCCCACAGAACCAAGGAGAGCATAGCCCCACTCAGGTGAGTTCATCTTGAGGAGGCGCCAAAAAGAGCTGGCCTGGTCCTTGAAGGGAAGCCTCTCTAATTTGTATGCTGCAGAGTGGGGGTCAGCTGATAAACTACTGAAGTCTGAAGTAGAGAAATCGGAGAGGCGCCGAGAGTATGGGGAGCGTCCATAAGAAGAGTTACGCCCAATGATAGGTGAGCTCACTGAGTTCCGGGCACTTGAAGGTCTAAGGCATAAACAAACAATAACCTCATCATAAGTTACAGAAAATAAACAAATTCCTTTTAAAACAAGGTTTAGAAAGGGGCTTCTTTATCAGTTCTCCTTCTCAATAGGCAACACGGATTTTAGTCCACAGTCTCAAGGTTACAACTAATAACTTCCAATTGAACCATATGGACATGAACCCAATTCAAGATCATGAATTACCATTAAAGAAAAAGCATTAATTCAGTTCCCAAGTAATAGGCTTGGGTACAATTTAAGTTGGTAGCGACCCAATGACCAGAAGGTATCGACAAGCAATATTTTATATGATTAATGGAACAAGCAACTTCAAATCGAGCCCGAATCACAAACTTAATAATATAAAGAAAGCACGACAATAGTTTATGAGCAATGTGGTTCAACCCAATTTGAGAACAAGGCCCACTATTAAAGAAAAGTGTGTCCACAGTCTCTAACTAATGGAACCGAGTCAAATTAAGATTGGCTTACCATTAAGGAAAAGTGGGGTTTATAATCTATGGAAAGAGAAAGAAAATAGTACCTTGCACTGCTCTTCCTTGCATTAATGAGAGCAGTCTCGTGTGCGAGCTCTTGCATGCGTATGAGCCTTGCATAGGAACTGCTGTCCCCTCTGGACATGAGCTCGTCATGGGTGCCCATTTCAGAGACGCTGCCTTGGTTGAGTACAGCTACTGAGTCAGCTTTGCGAATTGTGGAGAGACGATGGGCAATGACAAGTGTCGTTCTCCCTATCATGAAGCGGTCAAGTGCCTCTTGAACCAGCTTCTCTGACTCTGCATCCAAAGCACTAGTTGCTTCATCCAAGAGAAGAATGGCAGGGTTCTTTAGCATTGCCCTTGCTATTGCTATCCTCTGCTTTTGCCCTCCTGATAGCTGCACCCCTCTCTCTCCAACCTGTAAATACAGCGACAAACTTCATTTTTAACTTAATTGCCTCGGTCCAACTCTTCCACGATCATAGTCTTTTGAGATAAAGTCAACTTTGATTAAAAAGAAGATTGTACAAATACAAAAAATGGCCTCCCACATCTGGGAGCAGTATACAAAAATCACCAGGGTGGTGAAGATTACTCAAATCTTATGTTGGCAGCAGCACAGAAATCATCATGACAGTAATACCATCTTCTCCAACTCTTCCAAGATCATGTTTCTTTCTCATTTTTCATTCATAATCAAATCTTATGTTGAGTCTGCAGAGATTAAAAACTTTTGGAAAAAAAATTGTCAATTCTCCTAATATAATATCCTTTTCTATTACAGTTGGGACCAATCTTCAAAACTCATGCCTCAAAATTTCAGACTTTAGACACTTGAATGATATTAATCTTTTGCACATCAGCACACCCACAGCTGACACTTTTTCTTTGTAAGGAAAAAGTAATTAAAATATAAGAAAAGGTAACTAAATTATGCTCAATAATAGGAAGCATTATGTTCAACATCCAATATCCACTGCCCAGAACTTGAACGAGAATGGATGCCCCCAAGAGGAATTGCGAGGATGCACTCTAGTTGGAAAAGTAGACTCTCCCTTGCAAGAAAAGCACAAAAAATTTAATTTCAAAAGAGATTTGATTGTATTTGAGGGTAAATGTTTTTCTGTTTTGTTGAGCAGGTCACCAAATTTTATTTAGACTAATAAAGAAAAATAAATTCTGAATTTTGGCTGATTTCAGCCAATATTGGGGCACAGCAATGCAACCAAAATGGAATGGCAGTTGAAAGAATGAACTAAATGTAGTCAAACTCTGGTAAGCTTGAATCTATGATAATAAAAAAAAATAAGACTTTCATGATCTTTTCACAAACAAAGTAGATTTATTTTCTTATTTCCTCTCTATTTTCTGTTCCTATCCACCTTGCAATCGGTGTACTTGAATTAGAGAAACTCCAAGAGGATAGTAACTTACCACTTTAAAAGAGGACACTCATGATGAGAAATACAAGAATTCCACAAGGGAAGGAAAGTACTTTAACTTCGTGAATGTCATGAACTTCAATAATTTTCAAAAGAATAGCACAGAAGCATCCTGAAAAGTGGCTGGAGAGAGAGAGAGAGAGAGAGAGAGAGAAAGAGAAGGACCTGCGTGTCATAGCCCTCGGGAAGCTTTATGACGAATGAATGGGCATTTGCAACTCTTGCAGCTTCTTCAATTTCAACTTCCGTAGCATCCCCCCTACCTAGCAACAAGTTCTCTTTGATGCTGGTGGCAAACATAGCTGGCTCTTGGCTAACGAGCCCAATCTGTTCCCTCAACCATCTCAACCTTAGACTCTTGATGTCATGCCCATCCAACAACACCTGCCCTGCAAAGACAAATCAACCATAAAAGTAAAACATCCACAGTTCCAACAAACCCGATACCATAACTAGCAACTCAAACAAACCATAGAAGAACCTCCATTTCAACAATCTCAATATCCTCATCAGTAATTTCAAATGCCATTGCATTTACCTGATGTAGGGTCGTAGAACCTCTCTATGAGGGCCACAACAGTGCTCTTTCCAGATCCACTGCTTCCCACCATGGCTATGGTTTTACCAGCGGGGATGGTGAGAGAGAAGTTGCAGAGTATAGGTGTGTCTGGCCTTGTTGGGTATGAGAAGTTCACGTTTCTAAGTTCCACATGACCAGTTACAGATTCTAACTCTATGCCGGAAGTGCTATTGCGGTCAATATTTGGCTGGTGATCGATGGTCTGAAATATTTTTGCAGCTGCAACTTTCGCCTTCGCAAATGCAGCCATGCTGGGAGCAGACTGACCCAATGCTCTGTGCACGATTGAGTTTGAAATGAGAACAGGACATAATCTCTCTCTCTCTCTCTCTCTCTCTCTCTCTCAGAGTTGAGTGATCAAAATCCAAAAAAAGCAGCAATCAAAAAATCCAAACAACCAGCAATCAAGAAGCAAAGGAGAGACCAGATAGTGACACATTATTTTATTGCACATTTTTGTGATTTTTGGCCTTGAAACATCAAAGGAATTAACAAACAAAGACAGATCACAGAGTTGCAATACAGATCATCCACTGAACAAAGAGTTAGTATTTCAATTTCAATATATGTAATTAGAATCCATCAAATTCTCATAATTTCGTAGGTCCAGACTTAAAAAAACAATCTTTACATTTTCATATATTGATAATCCTCCTACTTCTCAAAGGTTTCACAGGTGACAGGTCCAGAAATCAAAATTAGAAACTATAGGGAAATTGAAGAAAAAGAATCAACTTACAGGCCACCAACCATTACAGAGAACATGGTGGAGATAGCTAATCCTCCATTAGTATGGTGGCGTCTCACAAGCCAACCTCCATACCAAAGGAGAAGAGCATAACAGCAGAATACAGTGAAGTATGTAGCTCCCAGTCCAAGACCTTTGGCCAATCCACTTTTATACCCAATCCTCTGTGCCACTTTCAAAGCAGAGGAATATGCCTGCAAAGCTCTCGACTCCCCAACATAGGAAAAAACTGTACGGATTTGTGATATTGTCTGCAGATAATCCAAAATTCGGAATAAAAAACACAAAATCAAAGACAGAAGACTTACTATCAATAACTTATAAAAGAGAGAATCCAGAGAAAAGCAGGACTTCAGTGTAGATAAAAATGACTCGGCAAAGGTACAAAGCCCTTGGCGAGGCACAATACTCGGGCGAGACAGTGTAACTCACTTGAGCCCAGCCAAGTTGAAAAAATAAAAATAAAGGCAAGAAAGCTACCATGTAGTATCTAACCTCCCCATTTCTTGGGTCAAACATAAAATGGTGTATTGATTAGGTTCACGGCTCTTTGCCTCCTTATTCTGAAGTCACGGGTTTGATCCTTACTATGGCATATTTTTGAACTCCCCTTTTTTTTAACTCCTTAAGAAAAGGACTGGGCTCAAAAAAATTAGGGAAGTGTTTGTGAGGGGATCCGATCACCCACCACAATGGCAAGTAAGCGATCATGCTACCCAAGAAGCCATTTGATCACTTTTGACTTAATATAGACATATTAATATGTATATAAACTATAAACGCATGGGTGTACAGCAAACTCGAGCCTAACTCGCCTCGCCCCATCGGACGAGGCCCCCAGTAACTCGGCCGAGTCTTAGTGAACTTGGCTGAGTCCTGCTAAACTGGGGGACTTTAATGTTAGAACCCATTAAGCAATTGCAGATAACCCAAAACAATCTAAGCAGGAGTTTGACCAAATATTTAAAAGAAAATGAAAAGTTCCCCTTTTGTTTTTTTTTTCATCATTTTAATACCTCTTCAGCAATGTTGCCTGCTTCAGAGAGGGCATCCTGAGTCTTGGAGGAAAGCTTTGTGAGTGTGGTGGCGTGTATGCCTCCAATGATGGCTATCAAAGGCACAACTGCAAGAGTTACAAGGGCCAACTGCCAAACTGCAGTGAAACCTACTATGAAACCAGTGACAAAGGTAGCCATGTAATGTATGAAGTTCCCCAACTGCACAGATGCACTACGACATCCATCAGATAAAATCTCTCTGCAAGTATGGCATTAAAAATTGCAGGAACAAAACATTAACCTCACCTTCTCACTGATGGCATCCTGAACCATAACAGCGTCACTGTTAATGGCGTAAATGATATCAGAGGTTCGAACATCAGTGTCAAAATATTGAATATCTTGATACAGAGCAGCTTCCAAATATTTGATCCTCATCTTGGTCGTTTGCCTCTCTCCAGTCCACATCCAGCACGATATCTCTGTTCAAAAAATCAATCTGCATATTTAAGTTCTCATGACAATTACCATGAAAAATTACAGAGAAGTGTTCTAAGAATGTCAAACAGTACCTGCCCAAGAGGACCCCCAAATGGCTGCTCCCACCACCAAGAAGTAAAATGCGTACTGGTACACAAAGTAATGGAGTTGTCAATGTTACATTCATGGCTGTTGTGAATATAATTATCAAATTAGTTGAAAAGGCAACCACTCAAATTTGGAGGAGATCCCGAATGGTTAATGGAACTGGTTCAGAAATCCGGCATGTTATTCACGACATTTAGGAGGAAGCACGTAGGATGAAGGAGTAGTAGCTTTGTAAATGATAGGAGGGGAAATTTTTTGGTACCATACACTCTGCTCTGTTAATTCACAGAGAGAGAGAGAGAGAGGGCAATTAACACTTACCTTCAGGACTTCCTGCATCATCTTGTCTGGATTATCAGCATTTGATCCGAACGAATTCACAAGATCCGCAAAGAACCTCAGGAAGATAGGTAAAGAACTGCCATGAACAATAGCTCCTGCTGTGCCCAACACCATTAGAACACAATCCAACCCATCTGCATATCTGAAAAGCTTCATAAACCCCACACTAGGAAGTGTATTGCCCTTTTCACCATCTCTTTTTCTCTCTCTCCCCCCGTCTGCAACACAAACTGGCTCTGGTTCAGTCTCCATTCTTTCCCTCTCTAAAACAGGAGGAGATGGGTCTTCTTCTCTCTTAATTGTTACCTCAGAAGAGACGAGCTCAAGCCCCTGCATCTCAGACCATTTCCACTGCTCTACTTTCCTTAACTCTCTCTCGGAACCTTGTGACATTGCTTTAGCTTTATATAAGCTTCTCACCTAACAGGGGCAAAGCCCTTTTCTCCTTTTTCCCACTTTTTTTTACTGTGGTTTCTTCTTCTTTCCCACCATTTCAACCAAATCTTATCTTTTTTTCAAAGTTTTCAGGTCTATGGTTTCAGAAGAAGCAGAGGCTAAAAAGTAGCAGCAGGGTTAGTTAACAGTTAGTGAGCAGTTCTTTCTCTCTCTTCAAAACAGGTGAAGAAGAAGCAGCAACAGCAGAAAAGGACAGAGCCTATGGAGAAAAAACGCAGGCTCCATAAAAGCACCTCTCCGACAAAACAAGATCCCAGTGTGAAAAAACTAGAGGCAGATATTGACCAATTCCATGCTCTAATAAATAACCCCTTTCCCTTGCTTTCTCAACAAGCAAGTAAAACAACCCAAAAATTTCAACTCTACTTTCTCTTCTCTTTATTTTTTTAATCTTGAGTAAAGTCTTGGACTGTTACTATTTTACTCCACTGCTTCTGCAGAAGCAAGCAAAACTCTAACTCCAGTGCTCTGCACTCTCTCTCTCTTAATAGTGAAACCGGATTCCACTCTATCGTCTCTCTCAACAGTGAAACTCGATTCTACCCTCTCTCTCGACTGTGAATCAAATGCGGTATTTGGTCAAACAACCTCCAGATCTGGTGGTACCTACTCCATTTATCAATCCCTTGAAGTAAAAGTAAAAAACACAGGTTTTTTTTTTTTGAAAAATTTTACCGCTCTTTTGGATTAGGAGGAGGCACCAGATGTAGAAGTGATGGCGTATTTACACTGTAATTGACACAACATTCCCTGTATCTTTTAGAAAGTACCTACCAAAAATAGTTCTCACTGCATTCAAGTACAAAAAACGGATTTCACCATTGTAAAAGCTCACTTTTGTCAAAGCCCCCAAATCTAGCGGTCTTTACAGGGCATTTTTCATTGCTTACAGTTAAAAACCCTAACTTCGACCATAAATACTCTGATTAAGCAGTAATTATTGGAGTAAGATAACTGATCATCCAATGTTGGAACTCGTAGAACTTTCAGGTGATTTTCCCAGAAAATAGCGGAAAAAAACCATATCCCGCCAAATTTGTCAGAAATGCCTCAAATTTCAAGAGCTTTTTCCTCCAAATTTAGAGCCAGATGGATAAAAATCATTAAAAAAAACACACAATCTGACGATCTTCACGCGCGAAAAGGGAAACTCAGAGAAATTTATCAGTGAAACTGAAAAGTTGTTAAACAGTTATTCAAAGCTTCTGATACATTTCAGATCACCCCCTAATTTGAGTGCAGAGGTAAAGGAATTTAAAAAAGAAATTCAAAGGGGGAAAAGATGAAGAAAAAGATGGATTCTTATTTACTGCAACTAATTGGAAGTATATGACGTCAAATCTGCTTTATCGATCCACCGTTAAATCACAGCTCCTCCATCATCTGGCGTCATATTAAAAGATTCAAAACAAAGCAACAAAAAAAAAAAAGTAAGCAGCAAAGTGACAGAGGGAGGAGAGGGAAGAAGAAGAAATTTTTATTCTTCGACCGTACGCTGATACTTCCTTCCGATTCGCTGTAGCGTAGTACCGTACGATACGCAGAAGAGAGAGAGAAACGCTAATTCTAGAGAGAGAGTCTGCGTGTGTGTGCGTGTTTAAGGCTCCAGTAGAGGGGTGTTCAATCAGAGGCTTGCAAATAGGAACAAAATGCACTTGAGATTTGCTTTCTCTCTCTAACTTTTGTTTTAAAAAAAAAAATTGCTAAATTTTGGGCTCCAATCATTCGTTTCGAAGGTTCGCTTTAATGGAGGAAGGATAGTGAATTCAACCCACCCCAGAAGGAGTCAAAAAGATCGTGGACGAAGAACCCCACTCTTTCTCTTTCTCTCTAAAAAATAACTCCATTTCTCTCTCTAAAAAATAACTCTATTCCTCTCTCTCTCTAAAAAAAACTCTGTTTCTCTCTCTTCGCTTTTGGAATTTCTCTCTCTAGAGAGGGGAGAGTTTTGGGCTACGACTTTATTAAATAAGGGGGCCATGTGGCTCGTGGAATGGCCCGACAAATTCTGACAATTCCGTGCGCATCCTTACGGAGTTGGTAATCCTCGTTGCTTCGCTTTCCCAAAGCGCCTTTCTCTTTTCCTACCGCCACCAGATGCCCTTCGTGTCTCCATCTTTTTCGTGCCAGAACATTACCTGCTCCTGCGGGTATATGCTCCCTAGGTTTCTCATTGTTTATTGATTTAGCTCTTCACCCTAGTTGTTCAACCTAAAAAAAAAAATAGGGTTCGGTTTGTATAGAACCGAGGCTCTACCAATCAAAGTTAAGCTCAACTTCAAATAGTATCAAGAAATATGGTTTTAATATTGAAAATTTTTGTGATAGCTTTAAAATATATTTTTATTTTTAATTATAAAATTTATAATTTAAAAAATAATGTAGATCGAGCATATCTATAAAACTTGAAAGTATTGAAAATTGACCATCTAAATATATGTTACGAGATACACTATTTTCAAAACTTGAAATCTATTTTTTTTCTTATGTCGATACATCTTGATGTTGAGATGATCAATTTGAGGATATTTGAGCATCAAAACAACCTCTTTTAGTGAAATTTTAGAAGAAGGATTTAATTTGATTGTTTTGTGCTTCAGCCCTATATAAACTTTTTCCAAAGAAATAATATTCGTGTATTTCATCAAAATAAAATATTAGTATTTAATTGAAAACATGTTGTAAGATCTAAGTGTTTAGAACTAAAAGCCTTTTTTTTCCCTTATGATTTTAGGGAAAATATCATTTAAAGTGTTTAAATTCCAACATGTTACCAAATTGCCATTATTTTGGATTGAGGAGGAACAATTAAGGACATTTCAATAACCAAGAGGCCCCAACTGACCATGAGGCCCCAACTGAATGACAAAAATAACCTTGCTCATTAAAAACTACAAATAAAGAACATATTATTCACGATTAGTGATGATAAACAACAAAGGGGTATTTTTATCACTTGGCACCTTAATGTCTTGCATGCAACATAACCAAAAAAACACTCTGAGCTGTTTCTCATCACTAATTCTAAATAGTATTTTTTTTTTATAAACCTGAATAAGAATGGGTATTTTTATCGATCTTTTTTTAAGGTCAATTTACTAAAATGATTTTGATTGTTCCTCCTTCCTAATCATAAACAAGGGCATCTTGGAAGGTTTTTTTTAATTGTTATCATTTGATCTCGTTAATGATTTTTTAAAATATTTCAACTTTTTAAATAATTTTATCCCATAATTTTAAGCAAATCCCAAAAAATTAAATTAAAAATATTTCTAATTGGTATGCTACTCGAGGGGAGTAAATATCTAGCTGGGAGGATTCTGCTATATCCTCTCTATTTTGCCAATGGATAGTCTGATACACAAGTAATTTCTTTTAAGTGCATATACTATGATCCCAGGATAATATAGTTTATTTATGCTGCCTTAGTCACCATCTAAGAATTGGATGGTATCTATTCAAATCAGGGACATTATTTTTTCAAGTGTATGGAGGGTGCAATTAGGAAATTTTTTTATTGAAGTTAATTTATGGGTTGAAGATCTTACATCATAAAAAATTAAAGATTCTAAAATTAATTTCTGGTGAGGTTTTATTTGAGGGTGTAAATGAACATTCTTTTCCTATGGGAGTAGAATGACTTTCGGCTTTTCTGTTTCTCGCTTGCTGTACAGGGAGGTACATAAAAAAGTTTTGTCCTCCACATTAAATTCATCTCTTCCACCTCGCGTTTATACATATTAAGAAACCCGAAGGAAACTTCACATTGCCAAAAATGATTTATCTTTTATAGATGGACGCGGTTAGCATGCGGCCAAGCCCGCACATTTACAAATGCGGGCTTGGCAATAAATATATATTTTAAATATAATTTGACTAATTTTTAGAGAATATATAATATTTAACATGGAGACTATGAATATGAAAAAATAACTAAATTTTAAAAACTAAAAATAATAATTATATAAAAAAAACATTGAGACCATTAGTTACATTTTGTTTTTAAATAAACAACCTATTTGCATCCTCTTTAAAATGGATGTTTTATACTTTGAGTGCATATTATACAAATACGGTCTGGCCCACATGAAACAATTTTTTTTAAGGATTCAGATGATTTAGAGAATATCTATAAAAAGAAATAATAATTGAGTTTGGTAATTAGAAAAATACATTAAATTTCATTCTATTTACCAGCAGAACATTATATGTCACGTCATTAACCTTTCTTGTGCCTGTTTTGTACAGGAATTGATCAAGTCAACATTATTGCATGATTCGACGCAAATTTCTCCACTATAAGGTTGTAACATAATGCGTTTTTTTCTTTTTTTATTCATGAAATATCGGGTAAGGGGCCTTTTTCCCCCTTGACTTACCCAAAATTTTTTTTTTCTCAAGTCAGCTATGTATTGTTGACCATGGACGTCCACGATTATTTGTAGTTTATTATTTTTAACCTACATGCATCATATAGTTTATTATTTGTAGCCTACATGCATCATTGTAAATTTGTAATCAATCCCCTATAACCCTATGAGTTAGCTAGCTCCGTTTTATGGTGATCGCTGGCAGAGCCAATAGGAAACGTAGAGCTATGTCTAATGCATCTAGGCATAAGCGCCTTTTAATAGCTCAGAAGCCTCATTCAATGGCTAAAATTAAATTTTATTTTTACTTTTAGTTTTAGTTTTTATTTAAAAATAATATTAAAATGAGATTTAGGCTATAGCTTTATTTTATTAGCAAAATTGAATTAAAATTCTAAAAAATATTTTGAATCAGCAATTTTGATCAAAAGAGATTTAAGAGTATTTTGGTTGTTTTTCTATTTAAAATATTTTTATCATTATTATTTAGTTATATTTATACAAATATACCTATACCTCAAATTTTAGATAAATATCTTATTTAAATAAAACATAAAATACGAGAATAATTTTTGGCTGTTGGACACAGCCCTGTGAAATCTAAACCATTATGCACCCTTCCAATTGTCCCCAACGGGATACTATAAACCATTGTGCACCCTTCCAATTGTCCCCAACGGGATACTGCTCCCCACCAAGTTTGTTTCTTGTAAAGATACTTTCCGAGGGCTCTAACAAAAGTAATTAATTTAGGGAAAATATTTTACATAAGGTAATCAACCTTATAGACAAAGGTCATTAACTAGGGGAAAATTTTTATGTAAGTTAATTAACCTTATACTATAGATGCAAGGGGAACCTCAAAAAATTCGCCAAAAAAGGTTGTTTAGATTTTGAAAAACATCCAATTGATCATCTTGACCTCGAGATGTAGGAATAAGAAAAAAAAAAAAGATTTATCGTTCTTAAAATTATGCAGTTTGCAATGTATTATTTGGACAAGTTTTTAGATTTTCAACTATAGATCTGTTCAATCTACTCCAATTTTTTAGCTTTAAATTTTCTATTTAGAAGGGAAAATAGATTTTGTAGAGATTTCCAATGCCAAACAATGTAGATATTATAGAAACCTGCATTTATTCTTAAGTACAATATTTTCATTCTTTTTATATATACCCATATTAAGACAGTGGTTTATTGCATATTATATTTTGTATCATCTTTGTAAGCCTATAAACTAGTGTATTATACACACATCTATCGTGACTTTTAGAATGCATATTGATGAGGGCTTAAGGCCCAAATATTTAGAAATACAAGTTTTCTAACATGATATCAAAGTCAAATTCATCTTTATCACATCCATTCCTATACGATGTCTGTCTAAACGTCCCCCTCTTATTTGCCTCTTTGCGCTCCATACCTCCAAAAAATCACCCGCCAATTTTTGCTTCCGTCCACACTCTTTTGCATCACCGTCTTTCTGTGACCCATTGTATCACCCGTCCTGTACTTCTCCATCCCAAAAAAAAAAAGAGTAAAAATAAATAAATAAATAAATAAATAAATATGCTTCCCTTTTGCTTCGTTCTTGCATACTTCTTTGCTTCCTCTGCCTTCTCAATTGAATTCGGCTTTCTTTAACGTACACATCCCCTATTATATCTGGAGACCTGTATTAGGCCTTTCACACCCTAGACATTGTGTTTCTTTTTTTTTTGACAAATAAAAATAAATCACTTTGTTTTAAAACCTTAATTCGTGAGTCATCTGATTGTAGGGAATGCAATTCTTGTCTCACAACTACTCCAATTTGAGGCCCAGTTAGCCACTACGTTTTTTATTAACTAGAGAGAGAGAGGCCTCTTCTGTGGCCAAGAATGAAAATTCTTGTGAAAAGTTTTTGGACTCTCTGTAAAATCTCATGCGAACTACTGTCTTTTGAGTCAGTTTTCTCACTTGGGGACCGGGATGATCGCTCACATGGCTCTAAATTTGAAACCAGTAGGGAAATCCGCTAAACATGAAGGAAAATCATTGTTGTTGGACCTTGGTGAGCCGGATCTGAAACCCGCATCTAGATCCATATTTGAAAACGGCATCTGAAAATGCCCGATTTGCACCATTTACAAAACAACGACCGAGATGTTTTGCGACTCTATGATCCGTCTCTCTGTAGAGTCGTGTTTTGAGTCTTTGATATGTTTTGGATCTTACTATTCTCAACTTCGTATCTAAGGTCTAAATGTATTTGTTGATGCACCCCTGATTTCATTGGCTCTTTCAAGTGCTTCGTGCTTGATGATCGAATTTTTTTATCCTGGTCGATGATTAAGTTTTTTAT